ACTTCAATTACATTCCACAGTTGTACAATAACAAAGACCTATCGAAGACTACTAGGTGTACAATAACAAAGACCTACAAGTATAGGTGCATCCCATAGTCGAGTCTGGAGATAGGAAGTGCAGGCTAAGGATGAGGCAGCACCTCGAAAAACTTCCACTAGCATCTATGTAACACCCGGGCTCATGGCTTAATAGGATTAATAGGATACTCGTACCAACAAGTTGCAACTTCTTTTCTGAAAGCCCATCTCTTAAGAACTCCAAGGTTAAGCGTGCTTGGCCTAGAGCGATGGTGACCAATGGAAGGGGGAAGTTCTTCCCAAAGGTGCATGATCAGTGAGACAAAGAAATCGTGAAAAGACAAGTGTTGGTACATGAGACATATCACCTATCCTAGTTAGCTTACATCATGCCGGATACCAAAGCAGGCCCAAATGGAGAGGTGGGGGCGTTAAATGAAGAATGGTATCAAAGCCGACTAGCACCTAGATCGGTTTCACGCCTAGATGTGTAGTAGTACCCAATCTTGAAGGCCTTTTCCCAATGCGAGCATGCAGGAGTGCGCATGGTGGCGGTGTGGATCCGGCGTGGTCACACAAAGATAGCATCTTTATCTATACCTGCTGTACCGGAGGAAGGACGTGGCTAAGAGGGACGTTCTGGCTTGGGATTGATCGACGAGGACGTCGATCGAGAGAAGATGAGGTGAGGATGTAACACCGGGCTCATGGCTTAATATGATTAATAGGATACTCGTACCAACAAGTTGCAACTTCTTTGACCATAAAGCCCATCTCTTAAGAACTCCAAGGTTAAGCGTGCATTCTATTGTTAACCCGACAGGACCGACCGGAAGTTCTTAGGAGGTGCGCACTAGTGAGGACAAAGTGCGTAGAAAAGACAAGTGTTGGTTATGCGTGAGGATAAATCTATATCCTAGTAGTGTGGATAAATTATATGCCAGATGGGGGTCATTTATGGTGCCTTCATAATGAGATGTGGGACGTTAGAAAATAGAATATGCACCTCTCACGGTCGAGAGAGAGAGAGAGCAAGAGGAGCATATCAGTGAGGTGCTTTACCTTCACTGCTGCACCTCTAATGGTCAGGAGATAGAGAGGCAAGAAGAGGAGGCGTGGAAGAGAAGAGCCGCCGTCGTCGCTGCTGCTCCAGTGGAAGGAGAGGATCGCTAGAGCACCAGACTAATGAATCGATTTATCTATGACAAGAAATCGTGGGAATTAAAGGTGGAAGCTCCATTGACATATTAGGACATATCACCTTCCTAGCAGCCTTGCGCATATCGGATACCAAACCAGGGACACCAAAATGAATTCAGTACCCCTTGGCTTGCCCAAATAAGCGAACCCCTTAATCGCAAAACTTCCACTAGCACCTAGATCGAGTAGCCCCCGCTGCGCCTAGATGCCGGTAGTACCCAATCTTGAAGGCCTTCTCCCAACGCCGTTGCGGCCGCAGGAGGAGTTGGAGAAGGAGCGCCATGGCGATGAAGAAAATATAGATGTTTGGCTCAAGATAGCTTTGTCTGTATCTATCTGTCTGTATCTAAGGAGGAAGGAGTGTGTGGATTGCCAAGCGCATCCAGCCCTGGCTTAAATAGGTCAACCTTGAAGATGGAGAAGCCAAGAGGAGCAATTAATACGCTTCAGAGAAGATGAGGCATAGAGTAATGGTGATGCAACTGTGTTCTGGTTAGTTGAGAAATGGAGAAATAACTCATGATGAATTTACTACCACTGGTACACCAAACGGTTGTGTAGGGCCGGCGGTCATAACGCCTATCTCAGTCGGCTCGGCTTTTCATACGATGAAAAAAATACCACTGCCACATCTATTGTTAACCCGTTGATGGTAGAAGTTTGAACTATCGGTTGCCTTCTTAGGAGGCCTAGCTATCGGTCCAACCGGCGGTGGAAGTATAACACCGTCGCTTCTATCGCTATGACAGTGAAAGTCGTGATAGTGATAAATCAATCTGTAGTAGTGTGGGTAAATTATATGTACATTTGAGGGGTCATTTTATGGTGCCTTCATAATGACAAATGTGGATATTTTTTTAGAAAATAGAATAGATCGAATGGCTATCATTGTTAGAGGCTACAGGATTGATGGCCCGATGTTTCTAAGTTTGTTAGAATTTCTAGGATTTTATACATCATCTCATGTTGGATTAATGTGGAGTCTAGTGGGACCTCTAATTAGTAATAGTAAGAGTTTAAGAAAATAGAATAGATCGAATGGCTGTCATTGTTAGATGCTACAGGATTGATGGACGGATGTTTGTAATTTTTGTGAGAATTTCTAGGATTTATCTATGTTTCTAGATCATCTCATATAGAATTAATGTGGAGCCTCCATTGGGGCCTCTAATTAGTAATAGTAAGAGGCTACAGGATTGATGGCCGGATGTTTCTAATTTTTATGAGAATTTCTGGGATTTATCTATTTTTCTAGATCATCTCATGTAAGATTAATGTGGAGCCTCCATCTCATGTAGAATTAATGTAGAGCCTCCATGGGAGCCTCTAATTAGTATAGTAAGATTTAGACGCTACAGGATTGATGGCCGGATGTTTCTAATTTTTGTGAGAATTTCTAGGATTTATCTATTTTTCTAGATCATCTCATGTAGGATTAACATGGAGCCTCTATTGGGGCCTCTACTTAGTAATGGTAAGATAAGATGATTAGTAGAATAATGCTGTGATGCTGAGGTCTCGATTCCTCATCCCAACCGCACAATCATCAGCAGTTCATCCTAATACTCCACTGTATTATGAATCAAAGACTCGAAAAGCACAAATACTGAAAGAGGGAGAATTTGAGAAAGCTTAGCACACTCATTGTGGCGGCAATCATTACAATATATAATCGCAAACACTAGAGTGAAATTTCTTAACCAGCTGTACTTGAAGACCTTTAGTCATGATATATCCACGAGTTGATCTTATGAGTGGAGGTGACGTAGAGAATGCGAACGTGGCCAAGTGACACCTTTTCCCGCATGAATAAGAAAAATAATCTAAGATTGATTGATGGTACCTTGTAGTGGTAGACAGGGTTGGATGCCACATAGAGTGTGCTCGTGTGAGAGCAGACAACAGTAGCACAACGAAGAAGCTAATGAAAATCTAGTGGCAGCTAGCGCAACCAACATCACTCAGAGACCACAACCAACCATGATAAGTGAATAGTTCTAAGGATAACAAGAAGTCAACAAGGCATGTAAAGAGGCAGTTAAAATTTGTCAGGTAACTGAGAAACTCCGGAGATACATCTAAAATCTGGCACATCAATTCACTAAGGGTTGCATAATATGGTAGATGATGCATTGATGGAGATGGGCTTGAGACCCATATGAAGTCATTCCATAGTGGTAGTCTGTCATATGTGACCAGAGATCCCATGAAGTACGATAGTAAAAAAAGGTAGTGGTTGACTGTGATGGAGAATAAGGTCCATACCGTTTGAGATGCATGTCTCTCCTATGTTGTATGATAGGTTGATATATACCTTAATATGATTCGAGTGGCTTGTTTAAAAAAGATGTCCTACAGAACATCTTAGAAGGAACACACTTATATGAGTTCGACTATTAGTCACAGTCTATGAGATGTGGGTAATCTCTAGATACTCATGAAAGGCCTAAGAGTTTGACTTATATGCTTCAACCAGAGGGGGTTCTTTTGGTAGCCTAGTATCAGTAAAGAACATAGGTTAAACTTATTTTGCACAAAACTGTCAATTCAAGACATATTCCATTGTTTAGTTGTGAAGAAGTGTAACCTCTGTTCTAGGTGGATGTTCGACGTAATAGTCTCCACCGAAACTTAGGAGAAACTAAGTGCATTTCTTCTATGCTTTGAAATTTGGTGGGGACAATTGGATTTAATTGGAATTCACTAATTTCATTTAGCAATTAAATCAAAAGAAATTTCAAGGCTAGGATTAATGTTAGGTGAAATTCATGATGTGTTAGTAGTCATTAGAGGGATGATTTATGGGGGTTAGTGGTTGATTTTGATTTGTCAGTTACTAATAACAAATATGGTTTTCATGGTCATTATGAATCAGGTTGATTATTGGGTTACTAGTAATTGAAAATTGTTTTGTCAGTTACTAGTAACATACATGGTGTTCATGACCACTATCAACTACTATGCATGTTTCTTGGTGTCCCTAGAAGGCTACTTAAGGCGGCGCTCCTCCTATCCATGAGCGAATGACAACCAACCACGCCTCACCACTTCACTGCTATGTTGCTCTCTGTCATCCCTGTCCCAGTTCCTGCATGCAAAGGAATAGGGAGAGCAGGCCTCCGAAAGCGGCGCCGTTCACGAGTTCACCTGCTCGGATGAAGACCGACAATTAGGTTTTTGGTGAGTATCTTCCATGCGACTACTCGTTCTTTGTTCTTCTTCCTAGTACTTTTGATGGAGGTGGTGGTCGGCACTGCAACCTTAATGCACGGCATGGAGCGTGACGACTACATCGACAAATGCTTTGTCAACTAGCGTCGGCAGCTGGGTATGCTACTCTTGCAACCTGTTGTGTAATTTCTATAATTGAAATCATGATCAGTATCATGTTCATTAATCGGTTACACTTAGATCACACATGCACATGTCTGATGTCACCAATATGTTGTTCATATTTTTCTGAACTAAACTGAAAATGAAATCGCCTAAATTCCTAAGAATAGGCCTATTGGGATATGCTATCGCTATCCCACCATTTGTATCCCACGAACCAGTAGCCACCTTAGTGCACTCTCACTTCTCAGTGCGCGTGCAGGCATTCTCGGTACTCACAATATAATATGTATATTGCTAGCAACACAGTTGACCAAGTTTGGTGATTACTCACAGGAGTCACAGCTTATACCTAGTAGTGCTTCTGGAATAATATATACTACTTCGGGAGATTAAGCAAGTAGTTAATCCAAGTTGGGAGCTGGTTTTAGTTAACACCCAAGCTGATTAGCCTGCCAGCTTCCTTGACTGGAGGAAGGTCTTATGCTTGCCCTCAGCGGATGCGAGGAAGTTGAGAAAGGTGGTGTAGTCTGTATCCTTGTACCGCCGTGGGTTTCCTTCGTCGACCAGCTCCGCCGCTGGCCCAATCACCCGCTCCGCAGGGACGCTGTGGAAGGACGCCACCGAGATGCGCGTCTGCGTCGAGTTCACCCGCACACGGTGCAATTTGCTCTTGTACAGTCCGTTGCTGTAGATCTGCAACCAATCAGGGGCATCATCAGTCTTCCATGACAGGAAACTTTCGTGTGTCCTGAAAAACAAAATAGAATAGATGCAAGTGTCTGTATTGCCTGCCGCTTCACCAACTTTTAACAATACAATACGAAGCTAGAGGATATCTTGTCCCGTTAGGTTGGCAATTTCTTATTGTTATGATAGCAACAGGGCTGCCTTACTAAGTTACTATATATTTGTTGGACAACATGAGTCGGCCAGGTAATGGGAGAGGATAACAATTTCTAGTGAATCTGCGCCGACCAAGATTTTTTCGGACTGATGTATGCAGCACTGAGACCACTTACACATCCAAGGTTAGCCTAAACTTTTGACAATTGTGTGGTGTACGTGCACACATTGGAAACTTTTTGTTATTATTGTTAAACTGAACCTATTAGAAAATTGAAGTTGGAAGATGATGCAACCCACCTAATCCTTGGATAAGTTGAAGTGGATGATGCATACCTGCTGGACAGCTCACTGTTTCAACTTGTAATTTATGTACAAGTGCTCCATCAGCATTTTGTCTCAACACTAACTGAACAGTGTACTACGTAAAACATCTAGTTTAATTTTTTGACCACTTAGTACCTGACTTGCTCGACATATAATTTCTTATACTTCAGTTCTGCATTTGTCTAGATCGTATTGGATATGAGAGTCCTGTTTATTATTCTAGCTTGTATCGGTCTCTACTGGTGAAAAGTCAAAGTTAATAAAGCAATGCAACCTAGGTAATAATACTATGCATATGCAAACCTCGAGGTGGTCGCCGACGTTGACGATGATGGACCCTGGGACGGCATCGACGGTGAGCCAGTGGCCGTGGTGCAAGATCTGGAGACCCTGGACTTGGTCCTGCAGCAGGAGCGTGAAGAGGCAGTAGTCAGAGTGCGGCGGCAGCCCGAGCGTGAGCTCTGGCTGCGGGCACGGCGGGTAGCAGTTGAGCATAATCTGCGAGTACCCTGCCTCCAACTCCTCTAGCAGACTCTGACTGTGACGGCAGGGGATGCCCAGAGCCTCTAGTGCTGCCTCCATGAGCTCCATGAACAACTGATGGTTCGCCATGGCGTACCTGGCTACCACTTCCCTGCATGCACGCATGAGCATGAACCATCATTGCGTACAAATATATTAATCATCCACGAAATATCAATATGATGCACAAGATCTCCTCCATAGATACGATGAAGCCATGGAGTATTTGTTTATTAAGGAGAGTACGTAGATCATTGAAATAGGAGAATAGACCCCATTACTGGAGGTCCTTTGAAAAATAATTTTAAAACGTGAAAACTCTAAATCGATTATCGAGGCACTAAATAATTTCAAATGAAAAGGTTGTCAACTATAATGAATTAGATCTTTTCGATTATTATAACTCTAGTTTAGGTTGTTTCACCATCCCAGATGGCGTCTGAAAAAAAATGTAAAAAATCAAATTTCAAATTATGATTGAAAACAAATTTTCAGTCCTTAAATGATTTTAAATAAAAAAATATGTCAACAACAAAACAGTAGATATCTTCGAGTAATGCCTCCATTGTCAACCATCTCTTGGGATCTGTTTTTAGAGGCAGACCAAATTGTCAACCATCTCTTGGGATCTCTTTTTAGAGGCGGCTGGATAGCCCAATCGCTTCTAGAAATGCCTCCATTTATAGAGACGGCTAAAAATTTGTAGGTTTTGTTCAGCTTTTCAACTGTCTTTTAATATACATTTCTAGAGGTAGTTGAGCTTTCTAACTGCCACCAAAAATTATTTTTTTGTGGTTTTTGATAGAGCCACCTATACAAACAAAAGAGAAAATATTTCTAAAAAAATATTTCTGTAGTAGTGACAGACTTAATTAATGATACTAGTGTGATAATTTAGGGTATGTTTAGATTGGCTAGCCTAATTGTTAGCCGCAACTACAAGTCAAATTAGCTAGCTAAAACTAACTAACTAGCTAACTATTAGCTCTTGTGTGTATGTATCTTCTGCAAATATATGCGTACATCCTTAGCAATTGTTTATTGCTTGTTGTTAGTTGGGCATGGTTGTGCCAACTAATGGGATAACAATTAGCAGTACTCGGCTAACATTTAGCATACCTGTGTAGCTTTTGGATAATTGGATCACGTAGGGCAAATTTTTGGTAATCAACAATATGCTCTCGTATGCAAAGATCCCATTAGAATAGAAATAGTGGCCGATAAAAAATTGTACTGTAAATCTTTTTTTTTTATATCAGAGATTGCATTAAACAAAGGTGGTCCTGTAACTGTAAATAGTAGTTGAAGTATGGACATACTAGGTACCATCAAATTCCTATAGCATTCGTGATGCATGGCTGAACATTTCTACGATTTTATTTGTTTCCATGAGGCTGACCCGACATCTGGCATATTTATTTGTAACTGTATAGATGTGTCAATATATATATTTTTTTGTAATTTTAGTAAGGTTATAAATGTTAATAAATCTACTTACATTATAAAATGGATTGCTGGGACTATCATAGATTAATATGTGGTGCTGTGCTCTTGGATGTTTTTTGTAAACTTAATAGTAAGGTTACAAATGTTACCAAAAGGGCTTACACTATAAAATGGATTGCCGGAACTATGACAGATTAATTTGTGGTGCTGTGTTCTTGGATGTGCTGAAGTCATGATTGACGTGTAGATCATTAACCTTATTAATAAGTAAACTAAAATACTTAATAATCTATCTTCATATTAGGAATATACCTGAGATCAGCGGGTTCGTCAGGCCACGAGGCCACGACGGCGTGTAACGGCTGGCAGCCAAGCTTCAGGAAGTCGCGCCAGAAGAGCACGGCATCTTTGGCCTGGTTGAAGCTGGTGCCGTACCTCACCGGCGCCCGCACGTCCGGCGACATGTACTGCGCCCGCCGCGCCAACGGAAGCTCGAAGAACCGCCGCGCCACGTCCAGCAACCCGTCGATCAGCTCGCGCGCCACGCCATGGTTCACCACCTGTACACGCGCGCGCATGCATGCGCTTAGGTACAGTCTGCATGCATGGAAACAAACAAGATGGCAGGCCTGTGCAGTGTGTACTGACGTGAAAGAATCCAGAGTCGCGGCACGCGGCGTCGAGCGTCTCCAGCTCGGAAGCATGGTGGGCAGGATCGATGAGGCGCGCCAGGTCGACGACGGGGAGCTTCACCGTGCCGAGCCCGTCGCCCGGGCGGTCGGGGTCCGGCAGGACGTACCTGGCTGGTAGCTTGGTAAAGCCACGGTTGCTGAGGTGCCCCACGCTTTTAATCAGACAGTACGAGTCTTCCTCTTCAGTCCCGCGGTTAACGGCACCCCCTGTGTCTCCATGCGCCAACTCCAACTTCGTCGGTAACGCTGCTACCGCCTTCGCAGCTTCTCTCTCGGCGGCATGCTGCAGTTGACGATCTTCAAGTATAGCTGCCATGGTGAGGAGACGAGAGGAGAAAACAGAGTGGACTCCGGATTGGTGTCTACTCTAAAGCTTTACATATGGTGTCTTATTGTCACTCATCAATATGAAAGTGCTTTGTAGCACAGGGATAACTACTGTATTATATATTGCCGACTTAAACGACCCAGAGGTCCATTAACTCACTCAGGGTCTCCAAAAGTTGATTTCCAGGTCCATAAAAATCCATACCCCTTTGTTTGGTCCTTAATCTAAACTTTCAGATTCGTAAACTTTTTAAATGGTGCAGGTTACCTCTCCATTTGGCCCTTAGAGACTTGCCATTCCCTGTTCTATAATCTGATTTAGAGAATTTGGTGCAAAATAGATCTCCAACGGTATCTATCTCATTATCCAAAGATAGCCATTGGCTATTACTCAATTTTTGCTGGTGCCACTACCCCAGATTAGGACAATACTACCGGTTCGAAACACCCCATCACTGCTAGATTTTGAATCGGCACAACCATACCGGCAGTGATGAGGGTCAGTTATCACTATCGGTTCCTACAAACCGACAGTGTTCTTCAACTTCACTGCCGGTTCTTTACACAACTCGGCAGAGTACAGTTCCACCAACACTACCGGTTCATGAGACCACCCAACAGTGTAACCTCGAACATCACTGTCGGTTTGTGTTTTAACCGGCAGTGTTGTCGTAACCAGCACTGCCAGTTTGTGACAAGACCCGTCAGTGATGGCTAAGCTAACGCTGCCGGTTTGTGGTTCAAGCCGGCAGTGCCATCTTGGCCATCACTGCCGGTTTGTTACTAACCGGCAGTGATGGTTACGACAACACTGCCGGTTTGTTGCTAACCGGCAGTGATGGTCTGTTCGTATTTTATTATTTTATAATTTATTTTAATTTATATTTTTCGTGGAATCGGATTTTGCTTTATATAGACAACGTAGACGACAGGTCCATCAATATTAAACATTACAAACGTTACTGTTATAGTTCAAATGTTCTTATCAAGATCTCGATCCCTCAAATGCTGCTCGGACTTCTTACAATAATCTAGCGAGCCGCTCTGGGCCATACTGGTCCTTGAACTTTATGGATTGTGCAATGAAAAATACTCCATCTTTTTCCAATACCTCGGCTAAGATGAATTTTGTCAGCTCCGATTGTAGTGCGACGATCTCCATGTCTAATAGTCTTTCGTGGTTATATTTCTTACGCTGTCGTTCAAAAAAGATGATTTCCAAAAAGAAATTAGTAAATCATTTTGTTGAATTATTAACAGACATAAATGAAATGGGGATTATACACACCCACTTATCTACTTCTTCCGATTTCCCGTCGATGTAGCGAAGCATTGCCCACATTACATAAAACCTGCATTCATTGTTTCCTGCCCGTTGTTTTAGGTACTTCCCCTTCATTTCGACAAACTTAAATGGGACCAGCATCCCATCGATTTGTCTTCTTTGGACACTGTGCAACATTAAAAGGAAAAACATTAGAAAGCGGTATGTGTGATTAGAATATAATATGTTATTAGGATCACTTACTAATTCAGCACTGCCACCAGTGCATCCAGATGATGAAATAATTTTTTGTTCGAGTTCCACACCTCGATCAGATTTTTGGCAAGATTGACACAAATGAAGACAAAATGGTTGCTGCAATCACAGAATCCTAATTATCGAATAATTTTAACGAAAAAAGAAGCATAAAATTAAAAGCCGAGAACACATACTCGCAGTTGTAGGCTAGAAGTATGTGGGTTTTGTTCTTCATCTTGAATTCATCGAAAACAGCAAGCAATCTCTCTTTCAAGTCTTCCACGTCACATCCATGGAGGCCTAAACATGTCTTCTCATTGACTCGCAAGGGGTCCAAGAAGCCTATGTTATCCCATTTACTTTTTAGTATGCAAAATTTTGCTATACACCTACATAAAATCATTGGAAGTGCTCAAAAGTTAACAATTTGTGTCTTGAGAGAGTAGTTAATTTTAATATCATGCATGTAGGGTACTTACATAGTCCACAGCGTCAGTATTTGTGAATCGAGAGAGCGTTTCTAGTATAGCTGGAACAAGCACTCCCACTCGACATCGAACTTTTCTTCTCCAGGATAATGAAAAACATGTGGCGAACGGATAATAACCTCAAAACCAAAGTCCTCCGTCTCTGTTGCTTGAGCCATGTAATATTCATGCAACTGGCGCATATATGTTGTCAAATTTTTATACTCGTCATCGGGAACCAAAAGATTGCCCCTTTCAAACTTCATTGCCGGTGTTCCCGTCCCTTGTACATCATAATAGATGTTCGTGGCCTCTTCCATGGTTAATTTGGGGTTCTCTTCGACGTACTTCTGTATCTTCCTTAAATCTTCATTCTGTATTTGTTTGGCTCTTATTGTAGTGTACTGATTCTGTGTTTGCCTTTCGAATTCAGACTTCAGCAAACACAGAGGCGGTGAGGCACAAAGATTGAAGAAACTAACACAATCTTTCTTCGAGATGTGTGCTATAAATTTTTCTTTCATCAAGTTTGTTACGCTGCCACTAAATGGCCTTTTTTTTTGTTGGTCCACATGGGGAGCATTAGCGACCAAATCCAAGGACCTTTTCTGTGACTGCGAGGATGCCTTTGATCTTGTATTGGGCTGAGGTGGAGAAGGCAGAGGCAGATGACGACGAGGATTCTATTTTCCCGAGGCTGATGAAGATGGAGGAGGAGGAGTCTTCTCTTTTCTCGGGGCTGATGAAGATGGAGTCGGACGAGGAGGAATAGAAGAAGACCTCTGTCTTCTCGGGGGTGATGGCAAGGGATGAGAAGGGGGGTGATCTCTGTTGGGAGATGGTGAGTGATCATCGCAGGTGGACGAAGACTCGCAGTTGTCCTCATCATCAGAGGACAATTGGTGGTCAAGCTTAATGAAGCGCTTGCGCCAGGCCACTTGAGAGGCCTTATTATGACCAAGTTTTGGCTTGTCTTCCGCCGCGGGGTACTTAATGTGTATCTTGTTATACTTCTTATCAAGTATTCTGTCAATGGTGATGCGAGCGTACCCCTGTGGAATTGTGTGGACATTAATGGTCCCGTCTCCCGCAGGCCAGGCCTCGCTGAGGGCCACATTGTCCTTTGTCCATTCCTGATGGAAGTACAACTTGACATTGATAGGCTCAATGATGCTGTCCACCGGATGGGGCACATTCACATCTTCTTCATCAAGCAGGGTCGATCCGTAGCTGCTGTGACCCCTCAACTGTGGGCTAAAGGCAGTAGGAGTAGGGTTTTGTGGTACTCCTAACCCCTTGGACAGCAAAATTTGCTGGACTCATGCTTCAACAGTCGCCTCAATCTGTGCGTACATTCTGTCTTCCATCTCTTTTAGTCGCCTCAAACACTCTGCCTCCTGTTCCGCTCTACCTCTCGAGCGGCTCCGGTAAGTGTGAGATTCTTCAGGGAATGCTAGTTTCCAAGGAACAACACCGGTTCATCTAGTGCGACTAGGGTGCTCCTTGGTTCTGAGTGCTTCGGTGAGCATGTCTTTCTCCCTATTAGAAGTGTGAGTCCCTTGCCTCACCTCCTCAGTTACCAGGGAGATCCTCTGGATGAGTTCGCTCATGGGTGGATTTGTGGAGCTAAAGCTCCCATCCTCGGCATGGCATACATTCCTCCCCATACAATATATTACCGATCTTGGCTCCCAATGGGTGGTCTCAACCATAGTTGGCCATGCAGCCCGCGGCCCGCTGGGCCAGTCCGTGGCCCGGCGTTTTGGCCCGGCACGGGCACGACACGGCCCGAGGCACCAAGCCATGCCTAGGCCACCACCCCGGCCCATGGCACGGCATGGGCACAGCCCGTTGTAAAGAGGCGGCCCGGTGGCAGCCCGGTGGCCAACGGCTTCATTTGGCCCAGCAAGGCAGCCCACGAAGCCAGCCCACCCCGCCGGCCGCTGCATATATAAGCCATAGCCGCTGCCCACTGCCTCCCTGGCTCCCTCTCCATCCATAACCCTAACCCTAAGTCCCTAATCCCCATTCCTCCCCCACAGCGTCGTCTGCTCTCACTCGCTGCCTCGCTCTCGCTCTTGCATTCGCAATCCACCGCCGCCGCTGCTCTCTATCGACCATCGTCGTCCTGTCCTCTTTGGCACCGGTGACCTCGCCAGCGCTCCTCCACCTCGCACTGAGTTCACTAACCCCGTCTCCTCCCTCCTTTTCCTCTCCTGTTTCCTCTTGATCTTGCTCGAAATCAATGAACCTGAACCATGTGAGTTCGTGTTCATGTCACTCCCTCCTCCCCCACCTCGCCGTCGATTCTAATCGGTGTCTATCTTATCCTCTGGCTGGCTTGCTGGCTTCTTCATCTCCGGCACCGGGCTCCGGGAAACTAGGTTCGTCACTTTCCATAACCCTAGATCTGCTCTTCTCTGCTCTGTCTCTCAAGTGTCATCTCTCACTCTTCTTCTTCTTTGCGTGCGTCTGTCTCATCCTCTGGCTGGCTTGCTAGCTTCTTCATCTCCGGCACCGGGCTCCGGGAAAGCAGGTTCGTCACTTTCCCTAACCCTAGATCTGCTCTTCTCTACTCTATCTCTGATCTCTGTCTCTCAAGTGTCATCTCTCACTCTTCTTCTTCTTTGCGTGCAGGTTGGTGCCTGACGCCGCGTCTTCCTCCTCTGGAGTAGACATGGCCAGGTTACCAAAGCACCCATTGAGGGACGGTGCTGGAGCTGCTGGAGGTCGAGGTCGTGGATGGCTGTCTGGCTCGTCCGTGGGCGGTTGCGGTTCTAGCCTCGCAACGCGGGGGGAGGATCAGCATCCCCTCGGCGACGGCGAGGACCAGGCGCTGCACTTGGACGACGAGCTGGAAGTCGAGGACGACGACGACCTACGTGATGATATAGCCAGTCTGTTCGGCATCGACCTCGATGACAGCAACCAGCCCATCGATCTCGATGGAGACAATGGTGATGGTGGAGTTGAGGTCTCCACTGACACTCATGGTACCTC